GTAATGAGATACGTATGAATAAATTATTTTTCTTTTAAATTCATGACTCTTCTAAACCATTGTGGGCTAACATTCTACTTTGGTTGCACTTTACAAGCTCTCAGACTTGGTCGCAAAATCTGAAAAAAGAAGACTTGCAATGGTTTTGTTTTTCAGTTGAAAAATCATAAGATAATATAGAAAAGCGTACTGTAAATGAGCACAACAGGTTTTCGTCCACATTCATAACGGCTGCCGCATTGTCGAATTGACCGCAATAGTGTGGAGCGGAAAATATGGTGACAAGTTTTCGATTTGCGAAAAACTCGTACCCATCTTGTACAACCTAAAAAAAGCGTTATTCATCCAAATGTGATTGGAAACGAGTTTTCGATAGACCTGATGTGCTCTGGCAACTAGTTCAATATTCAGAATACGATTCATTTCGAAAACTACATCTGGTCCGAAAACGTACGAGACACCTCGAGAGTTCGACGCCCATCCCTAAAACATTTTTGCTAAATTTTTGGGATAAAAAGAGGAAGCAACGACTTTTATATAATTATCAGGGTCACTCCAGAGAAGATCTATATGAAGCGACGGATTGGGTGGATCAATGGGACGAGTTATCTGTCGCAGCTGTTCGAGTGATTTGAGCTGAAAAACAAACTTGATAGGTTTTTGTTGATTTCGCTAATTAATAGGGATAAGGGTAAAACAGAAGATGCATTTACTACTTAAGTCAAAATTAGCAAAAGTGGAGGGGGGTGGACATGTGCGCGGAAAGGGGCGGGGCTAAAGTTTGTGATTGGATCGCGAAATGAGCGAATCGTTGGTGGCACTTACCTTTGGTGACAATCCTCCATGCATGCAGAGTATCTTCCCAGAAATCAGAGCTGTGAAGGGAAGTGTTGCAAAAGCGTCCTTCAAATAACACTTTACCTTCTTAGAAAGCAATAAAACGGTTTTTTTTTCACCTGAAACTGTAACCACAACCGAGTGCTTTGATATCGGCGATTGCATTCTTCGAAAAACCCATAAACTCGATTTATTGGTGAACATTCGTGATTTCCACGTAATATGAAGAAGTTTCCTGGATATTTAATCTGAAATTGTAACGGTATGTCATGAAGACTTTGATGCGTACGGTCGCGTCGCGTCAAAAACTCCGCCCAGCACTAAGCATGTGAAGCCTAGAGAAGGCAACTTTATAACAAAAGAACTCACTTTATAACAAAAGAACAATGCTATACATTCCAAATTTTGCTGTCCTCGGTCTACGTAATCTCCAAGAAACAGATAATTAACAAATGGTGGAAATCCGGAACGATCGAGTAGTCGTAGAACATCTGTGAAAGCTACTCTGACCTTTACATTCAAAACAACGATGACGAATGATACCTGCATACTGTCCATGAATATCACCGCATATTTTTACAGGAGGCTCTAGATCAATTAAGGAAGCTTGACTGAGAAATACTTGTCTAAAATCAACGTTAGGATAAGCAGCATGGGAGCGGTTGCGCGGCGACTGCGTAGCGGTAAGAATGAAACACGTACCTGGCGACTGTACATAAATTCATTAA